AAGGATGGAAAAACATTCCACCAAAGGACTAATACAAGGAAATGAGGTTGGTTATGTTACAATCACACCGAGTAAAGTCCATGTCAGAAAAAGAATTTCACCAGGGAAACAGGGATATTAGCATTAAGACAGAAGGGGAAATTCTCCAAGATAACAGCAGCCCTAATGTGTGCACACCTAACAGAGAACGGCAAAAATGCAGCAAAAGTGACGGTACTGAGCAGGACACACGGGTCAGGGGCCCACCTGGAGCCCAAGCAGTCACATGGACTAGGGGACAGAGCCAAGCGAGGAAGGGCAGGGAGGAATGCCACCACTTGGCTTCCCAGGACGGTGTCACAGCCCCAAGTGCAGCGCGCTCTGAAGTTTGAAACCACAGAAACTATTGTGTCGTGGTTCCGGGGGCTGGAAGCTGCAAGCCCGAGACCAAGGTACCGCAGGGCCCCTCCCTCTCTCTCTCTCTCTCTCTCTCTCTCTCTCTCTCTCTCTCGAGGAGAGGGCCCTTCCTGGCCTCCTCCAGCCTCTCGTGGGTCCAGCCATCTTTGGTGTTCTTTGTCCCACAGAGGCACAGTCCCAGCCTCCTGCCTTCACGTGGCGTCCTCCCTGGGCTCTTCACAGCTCCCCCTGTGCACATCTGTGTCCCCATCACCCCTTCCTATAAGGACACAATCACAGTGGGGTGGACCAACCCTGATGACCTCATTTTAACTTGCCTACCTCTGTAAAGACCCTATTGCCAAATATGGCCATTTTCTGGATTACTGGAGGTTAGGACTTGAACATACCTTTTTGGGGGGGGATGTAATTCAACCAATAACAACTAATCAACTAACTGAATTTAACTGATATGTATAGAACATTCCACTCACCAATGGAATACATATTGTTTCAAGTACATGTGGAACAACCACCCACATAGGCCACAGCCGGTTTCATAAAGCAAACTTCAACAAACAAAAGTCAACACTTCCAAATTCCACTTATCTAAACCTAGCGTGATTCTGATGCCAAAACCAGACAGAGTGACCAAAAAGCCAATTACGGGGCACATCTGTCACAAACAGAGATGCACAATTCAATGCAGATGCACAATTCTCCACAAGATATTATTAAAGTAAAACTCATCAATGTATAAATGAATAGTGGGATTTATTCCAGGAATTCAAGGCTGGTTCAATATTCAGCAATCTCTCCATATATGCCACCCTCTCAACAAGGAGAAAAGCTACCTGGATATATCATTTGATGCAGAAAAAGCATTTACAAAGCATCAAGCCATGATGCAAACTCTCAGCAAACTAGCAGTATAAGGGAACTTGCTCAGCCCGATAAAGGTCATCAATAAAAAAAATCTACAAGAACCACCGCACTTAGTGGCGCGGGGATGCTTTCCCAAAGCCCAGGAACAAGGCAGAGATTCCCACTCCTACAACCCCCATTCAGTCTCACAGAGTGGAAGAAGGCGAGCAAGAGAAATGAAAGGCATACCGGCTGGGAAAGAGTAAAGGTGTCCCCATTCATGGAGGGCCATCTCCTGGAACAGTGAGTTTATCAGGCTTACAGATATAAAGACAACATACGAAACCAACTTGTTTCTAAACACTAGGAATATACAACTGGAAAAAAAGCACCTCTTACAATAGCTCAGGAAAAAAAGAAATGCTTAGACCTAAACCTAACAAAACATGTACCAGATATGTATGCTAAATACTATAAAACGATGACAGAAAACTAAAGACCTATACAGAGACAAAGTAGGATCATGGATTGGAAGATTCAGCATAGATACCAATTTTCCCCAAACTGATCTATAGATTTAACACAATTCCAATCAAAATCTGAGCAGAGTTTTTTGGAGATACAGATGAGGTGATCCTAAAATCTGTGTGTACTGGTGAAGGAACAAAAACAGCCGAAATGAGTTTGGAAAACTAGAATAAAACTGAAGAATCACACCACTTGAGTTAAAACTAACACATGAATATCGAAGCAGATCGGTGTTGGTGGTGGGACACACAGCCCGACGGACACAGCAGGCCACACGGACAGGGCAAGCCGGGGGGGAGCAGGGAGGCTGCAGCTGACCACACAGCTGGGCAGTGGGCATTCGTTCCCATCTGTGGTGTGGGGACACCTGGCCATCCACACGTACAGACGTGCACTGGGTCCAGCTCAGTCCTGGTACACAGATTAACGCCAGTGCACCACAGATCTAAACGTACAATGTAAACAGTACACACTTCCAGACACACTTCTATGAAGGTGTCTAGAGAACCTTCATAATCTGGTGTTGGGCAAAGAATTCTCTGATGTGACACAAAAGTACTTTCCGTTTTTAGACAAAGTTGATAAGCAGGACCTCATCAAAACTTCCAACCTTTGCCCTGGAAAGCACTGTTAAGAGTAGATGGAAAGATAAGCTACAGACCAGTAGAAAATATTTACAAGTTACATGTCCAACAAAGAACTTCTGTACCTAAGCTCAACAACAAGAAAACAACAAACCCAGTTTTAAATGGGCAAAAAAGACACCTTACAAAAGAAAACACTGAACATCACGAAATGTTAGGGAGATGCAATGCAGCTGAGGCAGCACCACACCAGCTGGTGCAGTGGCCAGGGTACCAGGCGGTGGGGAGCGGGGTGGTCCTGCGGGGACGCAGCAGGGGTGCTCCCTGGCCTGGTGGGAAAGCCAGGTGGTCCGGCCACTGACTCAGCTTGGGCTGCATACAAAACGCCATGCTAGGCGGCTTGTGAGCAACAGTTACTTCTCACATTTCTGGTGGCCAAAGTCTGATGAGCTGACAGCTTGGTGGGAGGGCCCTTGTTCTGGCTGCAGGCTTGTCACCGTGTCCCCCCTCACATGGCAGAGGGGTGAGGCGGCGCTCTGGGGTCCCTTCCGTAAGGGCACTGATCCCAGTCACACGGCTCCATCCTCACGACCCAATCAGTCAGCCCCCGAGGCCCCACCCCCTAATGCCATCACCTTGGGTGTTAGGCTTCAACATATGGATTTGCGGGACACACACGCTCAGACCACAGCAGCTCTTCTGGAAAATGGTGGGCAGTTTCTTACAAATTTAAACTACACTCTGTGTGACCCACAACTCTGGTCCTTAGAGAAATTAAAGTCTGTTCCATGATGGCCAGCTTTCAAGTGTTCACACAGGGCTCTTTGTAAGTGCAAAAATCTGGAAAACACTCAAATATCCTTAAACAGGTGTATGGACAGCCAAAACGATGGCCTGTCTGTACAGTGGAATCCATCTATATGACATTTTTTGAAAGACAAAACCACAGTGACAGTGAACGTCAGCAGGGGGCTGTCAGGGCTACCGGTGGGGGCGGCCATGCAGAAAGGGCAGCCAGAGACAATGCAGACGTCCTGTACTCCCTCAGGGCTGCCATCCACATGCATATGGCTGAGCTCACAGGTCTGGCCCCAAAACACCAGCAGCTCTACCATGCGGTACATCTAGGAAGCTAGTAGGAAGAAATCTATGCCTGCAGAGACAGCAAGAAGCTTGCATCGGACTTTCACCTGCAGTGGGCCTGGTGGCAGCAGAGGCCCACATCAAGATGCTGAGGAAGATGAGCCCAGAGTCCTAGATACGGAGAGCAGGCACCAAGTGTGGGGACTAGATACCTGCCAGTAAGGGGAGCTGGAGCCCTTGGGAGAGGCTGCCAGCTGGCTTCCTCTCTCCAGACAAGGCGCACAAGGGCGGGTACAGACCATGTGAGCAGACATGCAATGCTGTGACCTCTACTGGGTCTTTAAAAACAATTATTTTTTTTGTGTTGAAAAATATGGAACTAAAATTCTAGCTGGCGTTGCAGATAAGGGGGTGGGAGGGCAAATAAAGGCATAAATGAAAAACCACAGCCCATGGTTACAGAAGACAGGCCGTCACCCTGGGAGACAACCTGGCAGTGCCTCAAATGGCTTAACACACTGCCCAGCGACGCACGCACAGCACCTTCCCAAGAGGCAGCAGCTCATTTCCACACGGAAACCTTACACGAGTGCTCATGGCAGCAAGATTCCCAACAGCCAGAGGTGGCAACAACCCACAGGTCGTTAAGGACACGTAAATGAATAAGGTCCAGCCACACGACCGAGGCTCTTCACAACCCTGAAGGGAGGGAGCGTCACTCACACTGCAGAATCTGGGCAACTGTGCCCAGAGAAGCCAGGCACAGGAGGAAGGTGGCGCTGCAGGGTTCCACCTTCCTGAACATCCACAACAGGCAAGTCCACGGGACAGAAACTGAGTCTGGCTGCCAGGAGCATGGGGTGCGCTGGCAGGGTCACTTTGGAACTAGGGTTACCAAGGCAATTCCGTCAACTCAGCCCGCAGCCGTGGTGACGTGGCTGGACTAGGACTGCTCATGGGCTCTTCCTCTAGAACATTCCATCTTTCAGGGGTCTGTTTCCCTGCAGCAGCAGCCCTTAGCAGGGGCAGAGGGCTGCTGCCCTGCAGTTTGTGGGACACCTCTACCCTTCCTTGAGCCTGCCCCTACCGTCCTCTGCACAGCAGGGTGGGGACCTCAGTCCTGGGCCCCACCAGCAGGTTCTCCAGGTCGAGAGCTCCTGCCTGCCCTCTGGGCAGGAGAGGGCCAGGGGGCCGCCGGCTGCTCTGGAGAGCAAGGACCTGGGTGGCGGCTGCCTATCCAGCACTCAAGCAATGCCCCTGCCCCAACCTGCCTTCTTCTGGGCCCCAGGGACAGCAGGGACAGCGCCTGCCCTCCTCTGCTCAGCTGCCACTCCCCTACCCGCTTCCCACCCTTCCACGATGGGTTCCAATCTCCTTTCTGCTGTTGTCGCCTTCCCTGCTGTCCCTGTGGGCCAACAGCTCCCACTCCTCTCGATTTACTACTGTTTCATTTTACAGAAAGAAAACTCGTTCACTATTGGCTTTAACCTAAATTCACCTTCTTGGAAAAAAATGAATTTATATGTTACACACAAATACCACAAATAAACAAAGGTAGAAACACAGCACGTTAAAAACTAAATTTTAGAACAGTCTGAAGAAAAATGGAAGTATTTTTCAACCGTGGGGAAGGTTAGGATTTCTTGAGTGGCAACAGCATTGCTGATAAAGGGAAATATTATCTGACTGACCACATCGAACTTTCCATTTCTGAACAGCTTCACAAACAGGTCAAAGCCACAACCAAGGACCAAGAAAATGGGGAACGCTTTCCAACCAGCAGGAAAACAAGACCACCATCCAGCAGAGACATGGACAGACAGGTGGGCAAGCCTCCCGAGATTCTGGGGCAGGAAGCTGACCCGGAGCCCAGGGGCTGTCTCCTACACAGCGGCCAGCCCGCACCAGGAAGCCCGAAGCCATGGCGGGACAGGACAGGATGGGACAGGAGGCACCCAGGGCTCTACTTCCAGGTCAGCAGAGCGATGTGGGCATCTGGGCTGGGGACCTTGGAGGGTGCAGGCAGTGAGGGGTGCAGCCCCAGGGCACAGCCTGGCAGTCAAACCTGCCACGGTGTACGCCAGCAGGCAGAGAACCAGCCCTCTGCAGGAACACGGAGTGAGCCCCACTGAAGGAAATGCAGCCTTCTTGCTTGTGGACGCAGAAATGAAGCAGGGAAGGACCCATTCCTGGGGACTGGGAGGGGCGGGAACCAAAGGGCATCAGCTTCCCTGCAAAAGGCCTCTGCTCACTGAAACTGAGGGCCTGGCTCAGACATGCCACGCACCCTGGCGCTCGCCCCACTGCCCTCTTCCTATGGTCTCGGCCTCTCAAAACAGAGGAGCGACTGTGTCAAGGGGAAGCCAAGTGTGTCACGGAGCCCCAAGACCAGCCAGTCCTGAGAACACACGAGCAGCCCCCAGCACACTGGGGGACAGCCAGCCAGAACTCCGTGTTGAGTCTGCCCAACCCACAGGGCTGAGGCCCAACCCGGGTCACACTGAGGTTTCCTCCTGTAGTCAGGGTGCCATGGCTGCCAGTTATGGAGGAAATGCCTGGTACCCAGACAAGTCCTGGTTCTGGGGGGAATGCTCTCGTCAAGTCCCCAAACGCAAACAAAGCCACTGGCCACCCTTCTGGGGCTGGGTTCCGCTGCAGTGGGGTGGGGCACACCTGAATCAGAGGCACATGTGGCCCTGCTCTCCAGGAAGCTTCAAGAAGGCCCGGCCAGCCTCACTGAGGGCCCCAGAGCTCAGAGTCCTAAGGAAGCAGAGGCCCTCAAGCTGCTGGGGACACAGGGAGGGGCAGGGTGCCATGGGGAGGGCAGCGGAGGGCAGGGAGCCGGGAGGACCCTCTGAGGGTTGCCACAAGGCCAAAGCCAAATGGACACCTCTCACCACAGAGACTGAACGAACAGTTTAATAGCAACTTCTCCACGGCAGCTGACACGCCTCACGGCAGGGCTGAGTGTGCCCCCCACATTCTCCGGGGGCGGCACACGGGATGCTCCAAGGACACAGAGCGCCCTCCTCGCCCCTGGCCTGGCCAGGCTGGAGCCCAGGACCCCCCCCTCAGAGCAGCAGCAGAGCCCCATGATGCCCCTTCTCTCCAGGGCCCGAGGCAGGGGCCTCCCTGAAGGCCATCCGCCCTGCTTGCCTCACTCTGGCCAATCCTCTGCAGCTGCACACTGAACCCTGCCCAGGGAGGCCCTGGCAGGCCTTGGTTCCTGCACAGCCGGCAGCTGAGTGCCTACACCAGGAGGCAGCCCCTTCCCAGGGGAACTCGGACTCGGCAGGCGCCCACCAAGCCACAGCAAGGTTCAGGTTGGCGCACCAGCACCTCACTGAGCCCCGGACCAGCTGCCCTGCCCTGGCCCTGGTGGGGGATGGCTAGAGCCCCGTCAGGTCCACAATGGCCTTGATGAAGATGGCATCGTCACGCACGTACGAAGTCTTGGCCTCCATCTTGGAGACAGGGCAGAAGAGGGGGCAGCCGCTCGCGATGTTCATGTCACTGACTGGCCTCTGGAAAGAGGACGAGCTCACGTCAGGCCTGAAGGCGTCGATCACATGCTCCCGGTTGTTCTGGTCCAGTAGCATTAAGGTCACCTGGGAGGAGATGATGCCCAGCGGGTCACCCCCATCAGCCCAGCATACCTGTCTACCCACACTTGCAGCCCAAGGTGAGCACTATGCCAACCTGCACCCACTCTCGATGACCTCCATCTGTACATGTCCTCTTGCCTCCAAGCTCAGGGAGTGCCCACTGCCCAGCCCTAAGGAGCAGGTCTGTGCCCACATCCCTCCCGAGGGCCCCAGGCCCCACACCCGACGTGGAGTCAACCAAGAACGACTCTGGGTCTCAAAGTGCTGGATCGCCTCCTACGAGGCCCTTCAGCTGTATTCCTTCCTTTAACAGACTCCGTGGCAGCCTCTCTACCTGCTGGTCCTGAGGCTGGGATGCCACCCCTGGGCATGTGCCCAGCATGTAGAAGCCAGGGCACCGTGGTGACAGGGCCCCATGCACAGGCCCTGCAACCAGGAGCACGAGCGTCCTTCCCACGGCCTCCCCGCTTGGGGCTCCGAGGTGCCCCACAGCCTCACGTACCTTCTGGTTGAAAGGCCACCGCAGGAGGGCGTCATTGGGGCCCTTCATCACCACGAAGAAGAGCGACAGGTGCGTGCCGCGCCCCGTGCCGTCTCCATTCAGGTAGACGCGCAGACACATCTTGTAGCCGTACCTGCTCGTGTAGAAGGCTGCAGGGGAAGGAGCCAGTGAGCCCGCGCCTGTGAGGGCCCAAGGTCCCCGCCGCCTTCCCTGAGACAGACACATGGACGTGCTTGGGTGCGGGAGTGTGAAAAGGGAAGCTCCTTTCAAATTGTGAAGTTAGCGGTCACTGACAACGAACTTCAGAAACCCCACGTGGCAGCAGAAACGGCACTTCTGAGTCTAACCGAAGGCGCTCGCACACTCTCCATGACGCCCTGGGTGGTGGGAACCACAGGGTGAGGCACCGGCTTGGGCTCCAGGCAGGCAATCGGCGGTGGGGAGAGCCAGCATCGGATGCCCAGTGGGGTGCCCAGAACACAGCCAGAAACACGCTGGCTGGTTTTTCAAGTGACAAGACAAGCTGTGGGACACAGGCCACCTGCAGACAGTGGCCCTGGCTGCTTTCTCCCCAAGCCCCCAGAAACCACCCCCTCGGCTCCCCACGTGCCCACCCAGTTCCTGCCCAAGACTCGCCAGGTGGGTCAGGGCCGGCAACCTCTGCCTGAGTGGAGACCAATGCCCACCAGGAGCCCATTTCACGTTCACGTCTCGCCAAGAGCCAAGCCCACGGGGGACCCAAACTCCCTCTACTGCCAAGGGAACATGCCAGCGACAGCACCCAGCAGACTGCACGCCTCCCTCCCACCCCACTCGGAAGGCAGGCGTGTGCACTTGGCCCAGGACACACCATGGCACGCGGCCTGCGTTCCTCTCCCTGCCTGCGGATCCACCCGGGAGAGGCACCGATACCTGCTCAGCCTGGACTCTGGACCACGTGCTCCCCAACAAGCTCCCCAAAGTAACATCAAGATAAAGGGCTCGTGTGCTCTGTTCCAAGGGTGGCGGGTCAGTGTACACAGGGGCCTGAGGCCGTGGCGTGTGAGGCCGCACAGGAAGCACCTGAGGGTGCGGCTGTGGCCTGGCAGGGGCAAGGGGGCCGTGCAGAGCACACTGCCTCCCCCTCCAGCAGCACTTTCCCAGTACAGACATGCCTCGCAGAGACTGGCTGGTGGGCACGGGGGGATTAACAACCAGCAGTGCGGCCAGCAGACTGCAGGGGGGTCAAGCGCGGTGAGGCCTTGGAGGGGCAGAGTCCTGCCTCAGCAGCGGCGCCGTGCTACAGGTGCGAGGAGCCACGGCTGGGGTCCCCCTGCCCTCTCAGTGCAGCTGCTCAGGCATGAGCAGGGAACATGCCCCAAGCTGAGGGGATGCGGGCCCAGAAGAGCAGCACCTGGGGAGAAGATGGCGGGAGTGCGGCCGGCCACTGCTTCCTGGCGCTTCCGGGCAAAGTCCGAGATCTTCCAGATGAACACGCCGTCGAAGGTGGCCGCCTCCATGTCATGGACCTTCTGCTCCAGGTCGGCCATGGCCAGGTCCTTGAGGCCGATGCTCCGCTCCAGCTGCTGCACCTGGGGGCGTGGGGGCCCGTGAGGACACCTCCCTCTCATGTGAATGGCGGGAAGAGCTGTGCCCACTCCGTCTCCTGGGTGGTCTGGCATGGCAGTGAGGCTGTCTCTGCTCCTGGGGCTTCACCAGGCTCAGCCTGTCTTGGGTTGGCTCTATCCCCAGGGGGCCCCCCAACCACACCCAACCCCAGGGTCAGGAAAGGCACTGGTGAGGCTACACAAAGCAGGACACCTTCCCCATGGCCACCTGATGCCCAGGTCTACCACTGACGGGGGCTCAAGGGGAGTCAGTCAACCCAGAACATGGTTGCTGTGCCGGAGAGCATGGCGCTGTGACTGAGCCCCAGCTCGGAAAGCTGCCCAGGGCACAAACCTGGTTACTGAGGGTCTCAATCCTGTCTTGGTCCAGCCGGTGCTGTCGGCCACAGGCCTCAGTGGTCATGGCCACCCGCTCTACCTCCCGGTTCAGCACGCAGACGATGTTCTCAAAGGTGGCCGTCTTCCTCTCCAAGGCCTCGCACCTCTGCAGGAGCTCCTCGGCCTTGGAGAGCTCCACCCCAGGGCCCGGCCTGCCAGCCTCCCAGGGCCCCTTGCTCTGGCCGAGAGGGCCGCTGCCTCCCGGGAGGTGCTCCGCTTCCAGGACAGCGCCCAGCAGCATGGCCAGGTGCTCCCGGAGCCGCTGTGCCTCGTGCTCCTGCCGCTTCTCACTCTCCACCTGGGAAGACCGGACGGTGGCTGGCACGGCACCTGCATGCCCGACCCAGGGATCCGCAGAGCACAGATGCGCCCCAAGCAAGGTGGGGCACGAGGTGGCCATGGTGCTTCCGTCCCATTCACCTGCGGCGTCTGGACTCGATTATGTTCCAGAAACACAAACCTTCCCCCAGGACTTGTTTATGTTTAAATAACAGGTGGGGGCACACAGTGGGGGCAGCGCTAAAGCTGAACTTCTTTAAATAGTCTGTACTGTACAAATCTGACTCTGCAGCCAAATCTCTTCCAAACCTTCACGATATCTGTATTTTAAAACGTTAGTAGATGCTCTCAGAAAATTGAAACAAACAAACAAATAGGCCTCCCTGTGAGGTGGTCCACCCAGAGCAGCTCCTGATGGTTCCGACAGGAGACCCCCACCATTCTGGGAGTGCCCCCATGGCTGTACTTGGGGCCTAAGGAGGACAGTATGCCAGTCCCAGCTGGAACCAGACTGGAAGACCTCGACTGACCCCCAGGTAGGTGAGGCAGCAAGCATCCTGTGGCCTCAACAGTCCTGCACCAGGGAACCCCAGGCCTGAGCGGAAACGGGCCTGCACCACGCAGCAGCCAGAGCGAGGGAGCGGGGGCACCGTGCCTGTTCAGTGTCAGAGAGAGTGAAGGCCGGGGAGCAGAGGTCACCAAGTAACGACGCTCTGGAGGGGCAGAGTGCAGGTGTGCCATCCTCCCAGGGCCTTGGGCCCTCAGCTGCGGGGTAGGGCAAGGACAGGGCAGCAGGCTCCATGTGGACAGAGTAGGGGCCACTCAGAGACAAACGGCAGGTGTATGGGAGCAGAGGGGAGGCGGGTTGAGGTCCTGAGGGCCAGGGAAGGGGCAGCAGATGGAGGCCGTTCCTCGGACTGGCCAGCACGTGGGAGACAAGAGAAGGGCCCAGAATGACTGCTGGGCTGGGGCCGGAGCAGCTGGGTGACTGAGGTGCTCCTCCAGGCAGGTGGGCGGACTGGGCATGGCTGAGCTCTGAGATGCCCGCATCCCAGGGGCACAAGGTGCTGGGCACCCTCAGCACATGGGGGGTTGGAGCTGGGGTCCCAGGAGCGCATGGGAGGACTGTGTGGAGCTGACTGTGGCGCCTGAGGGGCAGCAAGGGAGGCAAGAGGAGCCAGAGCGCTGGGAGCGCTGGGGGCAGCGTGGGGCACATGCGCTCAGGCAGTGGGAAGCGACTGGGTCATTGCAACCTGCTGCCCCTACTCTGGGCAACCGGGGCTCCCAGGATGCGCATGTGGCGCCACCTGGCCCCACAGACTCACCAGCTCTGGGCAGCCGACGGCGTGGAATCTGCACGGGGCCCGGCATTTGCCACAGGTCCTGACATGGTCCTGAAACTGGAAGCAGGTGCGCTGTGGCAGCATGCTCTGCGCAGGGGTCAGAGCCCAGCCAGGGGTCACCGTGCCCATCCCCAGGGGCTCTGGGAAGCGGCTCACTTTCTCACGTGAGATCTTCTTCTTGCCACAGCCGTTGCAAGTCAAGGGGAACTTGGGGCAAACTTCGTGGTGTGCCTGAAAGAAAGCAGTCAGGAGCCTGAGCCCAGGGTACCCAAAGTCAGGCGGGGCAGGTCCCCAGAACTCCCTCCACTCGTGGGGGCGGGAGTTTCAGATTCTGGGCCTCCTCTTCATGCAGCAGCAGCTATCAGAGCAACACAAGGTGAGCCACCAACCACCACTAGGGTGGGGTCACCAGTGAGCCGTGGAGGGTGCAGGACAGCGGCTTGGATCCGGGCACAGGGGTGGGAGGACAGGGGAGGGGGACTCTGGCAGGAGGGGAGGCCTGAGCACAGCCGGAACACCTCCATGGGATCCTGAGGACATGCGGCAGGGCCCAGCTCTTCAAATGAATGGCAAAGGAAAGAGATGCTGGGGCGTTAAAGAGGGAGCCCTGTAGACAGCAGTGCGGCTGCGGACCCTGCCTGGGTCACAGCTCGCGTAAGTCAACGCTGCAGATGCTGACCGACGGCCAGAAACGTGGTACTAGTGAGCTGGCGATAAGCCGTCACCGCTGAGCTGTAGACGCGATGACCCACACAGCCCTGGAAAAGGCCCGCCAGCCCGCCGCAGCACCCTGAGGAGCTCGTAGGTGAAAAGGCCAAGCACGGGAGGCTGGACCAGCCCGGCGAGGCTGAAGCGGCCTGGCCCTGCCGTTCTGTGTGGGAGCTTTCTAAAACACAACCATCCCCGTGAGCCCGGTTCCCCAAGAACCCTGTCCCCACATGGCTGCATGTGAAGGGCTGAGGAGCTGGTGCCGCATCCCGGGCTTGGCATCCGTGGTCCCGGCCACCACCAGGCCCGGCCCAGGCCCTCACCTTCAGGTCGGCCCAGCAGCAGGGCGCCCGGCAGTGCCTGCAGCTGAGGCTCCTCTCAGGGCACTCCTGCTCCGAATGCTGCTCCTTCTGCCCAAGGCGGACCAGGCCTTTACAGGCTGGGCACTCCGTCAGCATGAACGGGCAGTGTCCCTCGTGACAGCTCTGGTGGCAAGGGAGCGGAGCGTCAACAGAGCGCACGGGGGATGCTCTGGGCAGCTGAGGTTCCCGGTAGGTTTCGGCACCGAGGTACTGGTGATCCTGTGTCACCCCAAGTGCCCAGCACGGGTGGCATGCCAAATGCCAGGAATTGCAGCCACTCCAACACCTGTGCTCCAGGTCAGAGATCTGCACCCAGTCCTGCTGGCCGCCCCCACCCACACCACACTCTAAGCATGGCCCTCCCTGCACCACACCCACAGGACACAGAGGGGACCACTCAGGAGTGACGCTGAGGGACAACAGGGCCACAGAGGACTGGGATGCGGAGTGGGGGGCACAGGGGCAGAGCCCAGCTGACCGAGGGACAAGGCCCTGCTGGGCACCGGGCGGTGCAGATCCGGTGTGCTGTGCTGAGGCGCCAAGGGCCAGAGCGAGGAGAAGCAGGAGCAGGAACTCAGGACCCCACCCATGCGTCCCAGCACCCCTGCTGCAGGCGGGCCCCACCGTCCTGGAGCTGACAGCCAGGCAGGGACATGCACGGCGTGGCCTCAGGAGGAGGGGCCCCAGCCTGGGACCCCTGCAGCAGCGATCCAGAAAAAAGGCTGGGCGAGGCCTGGGCACAGCAGGCGACACTCTCCGGCTAGGGGTCAGGAGCTGGGTCGTGGGGTCAGGGATCCAAACCCCGCTGCATCTCAGGCTGCCGCTTTCCTGAGAGTGAGATGGACACAGACAGCCACGGAGGGCCCGGGGAGACATGGCACCAGGACCTGGCCGGGGAGATGAGACAAGGGACCAGAGGCCCAACCCCTCCAGGGTAATGGAAGGACAGGCCAGTCCCAACCCTGACAGGCCTTGCAGGGCCGGGGGATGGGGAGACCCACCGGCACCCTCAGGGAAAGTCTGCTGTGAATCAGGCAGGGAATGGGTGGGAGGCCGAGGAACAGTGCTAAAAAATGCTATTTTTACTGTGGAGAAACATTAACATTTACCACCCAAGCCCTCTCTAAGTGCACAGCTGAGGGGCATCGGGCACATCCGCCTGGTGTGAGGCTGTCCCCACCCCCCCCACCGGGACCTCCCATCTTCCCCAGCCGACACTATCCCTATCAGACACTCGCTCCCCCTGCCCGGCGCCCCCCTTCGCTGGACCCTGAAGGGCTGGGTAGGCCTGCGCGGGCGGGGCTCTGCAGGATCTGTCCTTTCTGGGTCTCTCACCAGGCCCGACTCAAGGTGTACACAGGACGCACTACAGCACGTCCGGCGTGCCAGGGGACACCTGGGGAAAGGAAGCCTGCTGAGCAGCGGGGGTCAGGAGCAGGAGGCCCTGGTGCTGTCAGCAGCTCCACAGCAGTGCCCACAGGAGGACCCATCCTCAGGGCTCCCTTGGACAGCTGTGGCAGCGGACTGGAGAGAACAGGAGGGCCTCACATGCACCTTCTGAGTGGCCCTGCCACTCCGAGGAGGCACACTGACATGCCGCTGGGCTCGGCTGCTGCGGCCAAAGCTCGCCATTCTGGGAGCAAGCAGAAGCAACAGGTGAACTCCGGAGAGGCAGCCGTGGTGCGCAGTGCACCGTGCTTCCCGGAGCAGGCACCCTGTCCCTGCGGCCCCCTGCATGCACACGCCAGATCAGTGCCAGTGTCCCCAGCAAGCCTCCCTGCTGATCCCCCACAGCCCGCGGTGCACCAGGCTATAACCGGCCACACAAAGCCAAGGAACATCGGCGGAGCAGGAGGAGATCCGGCTCCCCATGGCTTCCGTTCACCCTCCCGGGGGCACCCCCCACACTGGCCCTGCAGCTGCTTAGCTGACCTGCCACTACTCCCTGTTGACAGCTTTTCAAAGGCTCCTGGTAGGGTGCGTGGCCCAGCCCTCCCAGACCTGCACCTGCACTGGCCCACACAGTACTTGCCTGAGCCCCCAGGGTGAGGACCGCGGCGGCAGGAGGGAGCCTGCAGCATGCCTATACGGGGCAGGCACAGCTCCCTACCACCACCCCAGCAAGCTCCCAGGGCAGGCTGCTCAGGTATGCACACACGCTTCACAGAAATCGGTATCATTCAGCCATGTCCGAATAAGGCACTGCAGCCAACAGGCGTTCTGGCCGAGTCCACCAGGACACGTGGTGGCCAGGCGTGCCCGACTCAGCCTCGCCTCTCCCTGCCCTCGTCAGCTGCCTGGGGTCCCCCTGGGGCCCTTCTCTGCAGCTCTCTACAGGCCCTGCTGCCCTTGCCCCACAGCTCCTTCCTGCTCCCCAGGCCGGGCGGGCTCTGCAAACATCCAATCAACTGGAGTTTGAAGTCCCTGGGTTCTCAGCAGACTAGACATCATTACAAAGGAAAAACACACTCAAAGGCTACAAAGGATTTCCCCCCTCTCTCCACACTTTTCCAGTAACTCAGACACGGTGGGAGCACAGTATGCCACTTGCCACCCAGGTCTGAGGGCCCCAAAGGGCCAAGAGGCTGGCTCAGAGACAAGGGCGGGGCCTCCCCTACAGAGGTGGTCAGCACTGGGCCTTGACCCCTCAAGCCTGTGACACTCCAGCCTGAGAGAGATTTTATCAAGACATTAAAGGCCAGGCCAAGTGTCCAAGGGCAGCGCCTGCCCTCCCACATGACCACACCACCCCTCTCAGGGACTTTCCAGAGCTCTCCGTTGCAGCCAGGGACTTTCCACCCTGCATGCCTGCTGGCTGCAGCGCCAAGCCATGGGCTGGCTGCAGTCCCCGACCCTCAGCCCCAAGCCCATGAAGCCAGTGGCTACACCACGGGTCAGAGGGCAGCAGAAACCTGAGGAATTAGGAGCTGGGGCGCTGTTTCACCTGTCCTCGGGGTTCTCTTGGTCCCCTCCAAAGGCAGCAGGGCATACCACGACCCACTCCCGTGCCCCACACAGCCTCCTGTGCCCACTGCCTCCAAGCCTGCTGGGCTCTCCATCCTCCTAGGAGAGACCCTGACCTGAGGCCTGCTCTCTGGACAGCCCCAAGCAGTAACAGCAGAGCAGGCCCCTGGCTGCACGTGTGCAGTGCTGTGGCTCTGGGCCATGCGGGGCGTCTGTCCAAGGAGGCAGAAGTTCCTCACTCCCAGGAAGGGCGCAGGTGGCCAGAGCTGCTCCACTTCAGGCCCCACCAAAGGGTGTTCCCCAGACAGGGCCAAGCAGCTCCACTTGCAAAACAACTTAAAGCCCAAACTGCACAAAGTTGATCAGATTAAGAGGAGGAGGGAGGGATGCACAGCACACAGGCAGGAGCCACCAGGAACCTGGGATCCCAACTGGAGCCGGCCCGCCCCTGCTGTTGACTGTCACAGCCCCAAGCCTGGTCCCTGAGAGGGGGCTTCCCAAAGCCGAGCAGCCCTGGGCAGCTTGCCTGAGCATGGGAGAGCCGGGGTTCCACGCTCCTGCCTCGCCAATGGGCTCCCTGCTCCGAGAACCCTGCCTATCACTCTGCCCCAGGGAACACAACTCCCACCCAGCCCGCAGCCCCCATGTCACCTCCCGTCTGCGAGCCTGACTGCTCTAACGGCCCTCACAGAGTGGGGTCCTGAAGGATTAGTCCTCAGTGGCTGGCTCATTCACTCAGCACGATGCCTGCAGGCCTGTGCGTGCCGTAGCACAGGTCATGGCTTCCTCCCCCCCTGGGCTGGATGTTATTCTGTGGCTTGGACGGGCCGCACCTTGTCCATACCCTCACCTGCACACAGCACTGCCAGCGGCCCTCACCTGCAAGTCACTCTGATGTGCTCCTTGAGAGGAGGCGGTGGCGGAAGGCCGTGCACTGGGGAGGCCTGCTGGCTAGGGGTTAGCTGCCAGGTGCCGATCACATGGCCACCCCAACCATGGCGACGCAGAGAGGGGCGCAGGCCAGCCTTGCCTACAGACACAGCGAAAGATGTACACCCATGGCTGGCCCAAAGGACAAATGTGCAGGCTACCACTGTGATTTCCAAGTTGATACAGCTCAAAATAGGAAAGCTATGCTTCCCTGCAGCTCGGAATCGCTGCAGTGCCCTCAGGGCCAGTGGCGCTCAAGGCCAGTGCCAGGTCCTGCACACACACTGTCTCACCACCACTGCCATGGCAGGGGATGCCATGGCCTGCGTTCCCATTTGACAGACCAGGAAATTGGGCAGAGAGTGTGTAGCCCCAGGCCTGCCATGTGGCTGGCTGTGGTGCTAAGTGATGTCACTGGGCAGCTACCATACCCTCCCCGCACACAGCTACCAGGCTGAACCCCTGCAAGGCAGGGGTGGCCAAGGGCAGCTCTGGGGGTGGGGCTTCACCCTGGAGGCTGGACCAGCACTGGAGGCCCTACCTCATACTCTTTAAGGGTCCCCTTCCAGCTACAGCCCTCGCTGGGACAGGCGGCCGGCAGGCTCTCCACCTCCCTGCGGGCAGCGTTGTCCGGGAAAGCCTGGGGAGAGAGCGCCGTGCGGTCAAGCCTCTGCCCAGATGCCCGCTGCCTGCCTGGACTGAGGCTCAGGGACCCAGTCACCTGTCCATGCTGCCAGTCCCAGCTCCAGATGTCCCTGCAGCAGCAAGGCAATGGCTGCAGCATGAGGGCCGCCACCCTTACAAGCCACCAGGGCCATGGCAGACGCTTTCATTCTGCGGTCGTGTTATTAAAGGGAACACCAGCCACGTCTGATCATTTCAACATTAAGTCAAAGGCCTTTCACTTACCGAACTGCTCTCTAAAATAGAGACACCTTCCTCGTATATGCCCTCGTGCACACAGGCAGCACAGTTCTGGGGCCCGGAGCTGGCAGGAGAGAGCGGAAGGTGGGCTATCGAGTCTGCCGTGGAGAACGTCCCATCCAGACCCATCCAGCTCGACCCCATTTTTTCTCATTTGTCACCAAGTCAATGACAAGCCCTAAGTAACTGCAGGATGTTTACAACATTTATTCCCATCCTCTGGCGACACTCATTCCTCCCACCATGAACAAGGGTGCCCTGAATGGCTCAGGCTCACACAGGTGCACCTGCTGGCCAGCTGGGCACCACGCCCACGAGCAGCAAGGTCCCTGGGTCCAGGACATGCCAGCTCCCACTCAGACTAGTGGAGCTGGGGTGTGGCTTTATGCTCCCCAAGACCCACGTGAACAGCAGGGCAGCAGAGGAACCGCTGCAATGCCACATTTCACCTGCATACCCACAACTGCTGTGTCGACACTGAGTTGGCCTTCAGGCTTCCTGCGGCTTGTGCCACCAGGGAGCATTTCACCTGGTGCAGACGAGCTGCCCAGAGCCACCCGGTGCCCGCCGTACCTCAGGATGCTGGCCAGGCAGCAGGAGCAATAGCGGTGGCCACACTGGGCCTGGAAGGGCCTGCGCAGGACGTTCTTGCAGGCTGAGCACAGGTACTTGTCCTCCAGCGTGGCCCCCAGAAGGGCCTTGGAGAAGCCGGGCTGCAGCAAGTCCAGGGAGCCGGGAGGGGTCACACCGGCTGCAGCCATGAGAGCCGCACGCCCGGCAAACTGCCGAGCCCTGAGGAAGAACACAGTGGGTCACAGCAGCCCAGAGAGCTGCCTTAACTTGAGTGGCTGTCCGGACACCGAGGGGCCCGGGGTGGTGAGCTGACCCCTCAGAACCTGGGAAGCAGGATTCTGTGCTCTGGGAGCCTTGGAGATAACCTACACCAGTCTCCCGCTACAAACCCAAGGTGCGGAGGCCTGCACACACTGCACAGCCAGCCCTGGGTGTCCGCCCCGTAGCTCTGAGCCCAGCAGGCTGTCCCTGAAGTCACCCAGCCCGGGCTCCGCTCCTAGGCCAGCTTGCATCTGAGCACAGATGATGCCACCTTCGTGCCACTCGAGTGCTGCGCTCCTTGATCCTGGAGCGTTTCTGGCTCTGGGGGTTCCTATGATCAAGAAGACTTCAGAATGGTGGATGGTTTGTGCCACAGACCTCATCAGCCCGCCAGGAAACCCCAGCTACTGCCCCCGGCTTGAGGCAGCCTCAGGAGACGGCCACACCAACTGCTAGCCCCACAGTACCGGCCCCGAGACCGGCTGCACCGCATATGCAGCACCACCGCCGGGCTCCCTGTCCACCACGGCCAGCATCCCTCTCACGTAAGAGCTTCCTGCTGCCATCCACCAGGCCTGGGCAAGACCCCCAAGACAAGGCTACTGGGACAGGTGCGTCTGATGGACAGGTTCCCATGGAAAAGGGCAAGTGCCCGCAGCCCTGAAAGTGAGGCACACCTAATGCAGAAAGGCCAGAGACGCAGGAGCCTGCAGTCCCTGGGCACACTCTCCCGGGGGCCCTGTCTGCCACCCCGGGGACACATCCTGAGTGTCTTCCCACAGATGCACATGTTGTGAGGGGGGCACACCGACTTTCAGCCATGACGTTCTGAAACAACACCTCTTTCCAGGAGAGGCGGTCCGCGCGGGACGGTGCCAATGTCCACAGGCTGTCTTTGCTGTCCCGTGACAGCCTGGCATTATAGGAGGCAGGACAGCATGTCATCTTCCTTTGCTGGGCAAGGCGACTCTCTGCTGACTCCTTGGCTTTGGAGTTTGGTGAGGCCTCACGTTCAGACGCACTCACTCACATGGGCATGACCTGCATTTACTCCTCCAGCTATGGACGGAGAGGACGCTGTGCCCCAGGGGTCACTCATGGAAGGGCACACCCTCCCTCCCCAACCCTCCCTCTCCCTCTCTGCCTGGGCCCCTGCACGATCCATCCATCCAGGTGACCACTGGGTGATCTTGTCCTTTCAAGCCCTCATGATGTAGATACGTGAGCACAGATGGGGCTGCTTATGAATGAAGGCTGCCAGCAGAAGAGCCCAGCAAAGGGCCCGACAGCTTGCAGATGGTCTGACAGGGCTGGCAGGCCAGGCCGAGGAGGAGGGACCCCTCAGCCCGCATTTTCTCAGGTCATATTCGATCTAGCTTGTGTGTATGAGACCACAGCAGGGGGTCTGTGAGGCACACACTCTGAAGGCCTTCCGCACTTCCCATTTTTCTTCTCTCTAATCATGTCACTAAATTGGTTTCATGGGCCTTTTAATGGCTTAAAAATCATGGCCCTCAACTATACTAGAGAGTTTTATTTCTAAACATCACTAGTGAAAAAGCCATGTTCTCTTGGTCACAACCCTACCATGTATTCATCATGTCAAGCAGAACAAACTATGAAGCGCGAAGGACCTACGACCGCAGGGGCCTTGCACGGCAGGGCCAGGAGGGGACGTCAGTGGACCAGGATCCTCCTCAAGCTCATGACGCATTTCTCTTCTCAAGCTTCCCTTGACAGCTTCCTGAGTGCCTGTCAGACATGGCTTCACTCTCTGGCATCGACATCACGCCTAAACACGGCTGGGCCCAGCTTCCTGACCTCCTGGTCACACCTCCTATGGCACACTGAGCCCATTTTATTAGGCCTTATTAATCCCACTTTTACTCCTGTTAGATCTCAAAGAACCACAAGAATGCTCTCTTTTGTGTGATAAAAGAGGGAAAATGCCCCAACGCACGTCTGGGCCTGGACCTGTCTGTCTGCTCTGCGGTGACCTCATAGCCACAGGGCATGGCTGGGGGCTGGGTTGTTATTCTTTGTCACACCTGGGGAAACAGCCTCTCTAGCCCAGGGCTCACCCAGCAGCACACACTGCACGAGGGGAGGCCTTAGAATTCAAATACTTAGACATCGCATTCAAATCTCTTGTGTATATACAATTTAATCTGACTCTTAAGAACTGTAGACACAATCACACTCAAAATCGATGAGCCGAAACATGACGCTATGAAGGCTGATCCTGTCTCTCTCCTGATGTGGTGTTCCCAACACGTGGGACACTCCTGCCTCCTCCAGCCCTGTCTCAGCTTCCGGCAGCCTGCCCACGCCCTCCCACTGAATTACACAGGGCTTGGCGGCTCCCCGAGACCACCAGGGTCAGCTGCACTGGACGTGTCACAGAGGGGAGCAGGTGGTCAGGCAACTGACAGAGAGCCAGGCACTCCAATTGAAGCTAGACATTCTACTGGGCCTTTCGAGCTTCCAGGGTGCCTCCCAAACCCTGACTCTCAGGGAAGGTTGTAAAAGTGAGAGTGATGTCCACTTGCGGGACTCATGTGAGTGTGTGGGCAAATACTCTCACAGCCTATCCCGATTTCACACCATTCATCCCAATAAGACACTTGACGTTAATGCACTAGCTCCAAACAACACTTACTTTTTGTTAAAAGGCCATTTCTTTTTTTTTT